TCTCTCTCTCTCTCTCTCTCTCTCTCTCTCTCTCTCTCTTTCTCTCTTTCTCTCTTTCTCTCGGCTCTCTCTCTCTCTTTTTCTCTCTCCTCTCTCTCTTTCTCTCTTTTTTCTCTCTCTCTCTCTCTCTCTCTCTCTCTTCTCTTCTCTCTTCTCTCTCTCTCTCTCTCTCTCTCTCTCTTCTCTTCTCTCTCTCTCTTTCGCGCTCTCCCCCTCAATTTTCCGATTTGTTTTTGCGTTATCACTGCGCCTCCATTCGCCCCTCTTCGCCTCCCCGCCCACGACCAAACAAACGCCCTCTCTCCGCCCCCGCACCGCCCACCACTCGCCCGCCCGCCCTCAACCCCCTCAACACTCGCCATCACCTGCACATCCCGCACTACCCTTGGCACACCCACGCCCACGCCCATCCCCGGTACACTCGAACATAAACCGCCCACATACGCCCGTCGCCTCTCGCACACTCCCCCCGCCCCTTCCCCTTCCGTCACCACCCCCCTACCCCCTCCTCTCGCCTTCCCCCACACGCCCATCGGCACCTCCCTTCCCCCCCCGCATGGTACTCCCCCCACCCACCCACCCACACCTCCCTTCGCATGCCTCCCTTCCCCTCCCTCTCCCTCTTTGCACGCCCCTCCCTCCCTCTCCCCTCTTTGCACGCCCCTCCCCCTTCTCGCCCGTCCGCCCAACCCTTTGGCACGCCCCACACAGAGGGACCGCGGGCGTGGGCGTTAGTGGCCTCGAGGAACCGCGACGCTTTTTCGGGCACAGAGGAGGCGGCTGTCCTGCACGCCGCACCGTCCTGGACCTAATCGACGACATTCCCTCCGCTGTGGCCTCGGAAGCCATCATTGCCGGGACTATATCCCCAGATCCAGTGTGTCAGCAGTCAAACGCGCCAGCTCGCCTCTCTTCAGCCTTTGTCTCAAAACAAAAAAAAGAAATTCAAAAAAGTATATAAAAAATAAAAATAAGAGAAATTTAAAAAGGTAAAAAAAGTAAAATTAAAAGAAATTCAAAAAAGTATAAAAAAAAAAAGAAGAATTTAAAAAGGTAAAAAAAATAGTAAAAAGTAAAAAAAA